CCCCCCCCCCCCCCTATTTGCACTCGAAAAGGTTGTTTTTAGCCCTCTTTTAGGTCAAAATTTTAGAAAATTCGTCATTTTCCACGAAGGTGGGGGGCCCCCCTGCCCCACCGAGATTTTCGCCACTGATGGCATGCATGCAATGAACAAAATGAAGGACTAAGACTGCATGTACAGTAGTTCATGGTAGTAGTAGGGAAAGAAAATAGTAGGGAAAGAAAATGGTAGTAGTAGGGAAAGAAAAACCCTGCATCGATATGGTCATGGAGTGATGGAATAATACAGAAAAAAATAGAAACAATTTCTACACAGTTTCTATATACACTGAAAAAAAGTTCAACAAAGCTCCGAACTTAAAAATATCGTGCATGCAAGGAAAATTTCCTCTCACGGCCCTTCGCAGGATATCTAATAGTCCATCCATGCAATTTATATCAAATGTATAGCCACTTAATGAGAGAACATTCTTGCGGATAGAATTACAATAAAGTGATAAATTGCTGTTCATATCTCCTGTCCATAGATCTCTTCAAAGTGATAAAGAAAAAAATACCAGGAATCTGCTTTATATGGACACAACTATAGAACAACCGATATCATTTAGATTTCCGCGTGGATGACCAGTCCCCAAAGGTATCCCAACTATTTATATTAGAACCACGCACCATCTTCATGCCATCTTGAAGATGTCAATTTGACACAAACGTATGATTCTTCCCCTTCGTACTCCTCATTCAATGGACTGCTTAACTTAAATTCCAATGTTAACTATTCATCTTATTAGACATGCTATATAGTTTTTAATTAAAGCAAATGAATGAAATTCGGGACGGGGAAAAACCTTGGCATAGTGTGTGAAAATATTTTTATCCTCATATCCTGGTACTTTTTGCAGTCTTAAATTTCTTTTAGAAAGTTTCTTAAGCTGGAATACTCTCATCTTGTTATTTTCGTCTCTACATCATCCACTCATTCCTTAAGGTTCATTGATCTCTTAGTATAAGTCTTAGTAATTTTGGTAACATATATTAATATTTAACACTAAAGTTAATATCAAATATCAATAAGTATTTGTATTGTTATATTTCTACTTAGTTAATTAATTAACATATATTGTAAAAATTTGATCGAAATAAATCTGTTAAAACAATACAAAAACAATTTTGTAGGCCGCTAGGCCATTCATATAACCATAGATAATTTAGAATCATGGTAGATGCAGTCTTTACATGATAACCGTGTTTTCACTCTTTATCTAAATGTTCCTGCACACTTTTAGCCCTTTATGCATGGCAAAATGGTATGGTGAGATAAGCGCCAAAATTGATTTATATTGTTATTAGCACTTCGATTTAACGTAAACATGGTGTGCATCACACTGTGGCCATATGGCAGTTTGTGTTGACAAATATGTCAGGGTCAAACATATATATTATTGCAAAATAACCAATTCCGCTTCCTCAAAGTTGTATAATATAAGTACGAAACATTTTTTCCCAAAATATATATAAGCATTATAACGTCTGTTGTAGAAGATGATCGCCATTTTACCATGCTGGCTTAATTTGTATAGGTTTTAACCTTAATTCATATCTAAGCCTTGTATGAGCTTTTAAATCCGATCTAATCTTCTTTTGTTTGCGTTTTGCATTTCCAAAGCGGTAGTAGGGGTTGCGCGTGTAGAACTTTCGATATGTTTCCTTCATAAAGTTGGAAAGTCATGTATTGCTGGTCAAGCCACAGAATATATATTTAAGTACATGAATACATCGGAGCTGTCTTTTAAAGCCGTAACAACTAAAGATCAATTTAAATTCATGAATTGAAAATTAAGCTACAGAACTAAAAAATATGAATGATATCGATATTTCAAGATTTTATTTACAAGTTAACCTGATGAAATCGTACATGTTTGCAGTATTCAGAAATTACGAATGACGAATCTATCATCGAAATGATTAAGAAAAAATATTTAATGATTATATACCTCACCCTTTGACAAAAGTTTCAGTAGTCGAAATGAAAGATGATTAGAAAATAATGCTTTCAAGAATCAGTACATTTTGATACAATATTTTAGAGGCTACTTTGTTACATGCACCTTTGTTACAGCATTAAAAAAATATGAAATTTTCAATCAACTAATTTATAAATTAAATTTTGAATTTTTGACTGGTAATGTCGGGACAGTGCAGGTAGGCACAAATCGGAGGACCTTCAACCCAGCAATCAAAATGCTTCCTTTATACTCTCGATTTCAATTTGCTTTTCAAAACTGACTTCCAATGTTTACTTGTAAATTCGAAATGTTCGTTGTAAAGTTCCGGAGTTTGTTTCGAAGTTCGTTCCGATGATTTACGATAATCAAGTTTAGTAAGTTGTAATTGGCTAGTTAAGTGAACCAGCCAATCAAACCGCTTGCTATTGAATCATCGTAAATCATCGTAACGAACTTCGAAACAAACTTCGGAACTTTACAACGAACATTCCGAATTTACAAGTAAACATTGGAAGTCAGTTTTGAAAAGCAAATTGAAATCGAGAGTAATTAATTTTGAAATGAAATTTGAAAACGATCAACTGATAAAAAAACTGTTGCATTGACTTGTGCCGAGCCCGATTGTGATCGGTCTTTTGAGCTACAACATGGTTCCAGAGGCTCTTTGCGAGGCGAAAGACCATCTGGAACCAGGGTAGTAACAGCAAAGCCAAAATAGGAAAAAGTATAGCTAGTGCATGAATGCTACAATAAGACGCGAACTGGCTGAATTGTTCGAAGTATATAGTTACAGTATAGTAAAGCCAGAACGTCGGTAAATACTTGCAAAACCCGGCTATATAGCCACAGCTATATATAGCCTATATAGAGGTTATTTTACGATATAACGTTCCTTCAGTGCGCTGTGCAACAAATCAGGCCATGACAAGAAGCTGAAGAAGGTCGAAGACTGAGTATCTTAACGTTTACCTGCCAAGATTTCAAGATGGCTAATTAAATATAATAGGCCCAAAAAAATATTTGAAAAGTCAGTGACTTCAGCGGGATGTGAATTTGCACCTTTCATGCGACTCTGCTCTACTGTAGCTCTAATTAATGCTCTAGATTCTCCAATCACAGTTGGCTCACTAGTTCAATAGATACTGTATCTATTGAACTACTAACGAGCCAAATGTGATTGGAGAATTTAAGTTTTGTCCATTAAACATTTTGACTGAACAGTCTGAACGAAATATTTTGGCGATGACTTAAAAACGCTATAATCCGTGCGAAGATAAACAATATCGACGAATTGAAACGGCGCGTGGTCACACAGACATGTTTGCACGGATTTTCGGAGTAGTTATCTTATGAACTGTTGCGACTATACGCTATACTGTACTATGTCCATGACTATGTCTACATGTATGTCTATAGCATCCCAAGTGTTTGAGCTGTACCTATGCACCGTAGTGAGATCACCATGTGTGTGTTTGTAAACCCCATTGATTTTTAATAAATCCCTAGCTGTTGGAGGCGTGTTAGGCACAATTGCGAAACCCACTTGACTCCATATCGACAGTCTGATAGCATTCTGAATAGATCATAACATAACACTAATGTCTTTACATTTATGCCGCGATACAACGCTATAGTCGGAACAGCTGTAATTATAAGCCTTTGTGTGAAAAATGACGTAGTCATACAGTCTGCTGACGGCATATATAACGTACATAGCTACAACAGCTTAAAAAATCCAACAGACCAGAAGGAATACAGTGACATAGATATAATTATTGCGCCTGTTTACAAAAATATAAACGTGCTGTAGTGTAAACACCTGAACGTACGAATCAATTTCGAACAAAATGAACCAAATCACTTTTACGTGCAATAGGATAAGGGTTTAATAGCATTAGTGTTTAGAATGGGGCACATTGTCATTGAATATTTAACCCTTGCATGATGAGAAAACCAAAATTAAAACGTTGTCGCCGGTTCATTGGAAGACTATTGAGAGTTTCTAGAGACCTAGTTCATTATGATAATATAGACATTTTTATGAGTGCCGGAACAATATCATGCAACGATTTGTATTGCAACGGCTGCATTATAAGTGGCGTTATACAATATCATGTTCAAGTGTTCAATAACTTTCATAATGACCGCATAAACTATCACGCATATGTAGTCACAATAATTGTAGTGCGGGTAATATTATTAAATGTACGACAGAGCGGGATAATATGAGAAAGAAATATACGATGGTACAAGTAATATTGTGAAATACATACCTATCGCTGGCGTATTATATGTTAGAATACAAAATATCACGAAGCATAATATCCAACCGATTACTAAGAAGCCACAACAACGAGGTCGCTTGAGTACTCGGCGCAGTCGGGTACATGCGTTTGACATAACTCAGCCAGCCGGATCTCTGTAGTAGTGTCTTATATTTTCACATTGAGATCGCCGTAGGATATTATCCAACACAAAAACAGGACTTTGCACTTCTTGTAAACCCCGATACCGTTTGGAACGCATTCGAACGCGCTCTCGGAGTGCCAAAGGCAGCTTATCTTTCGTACGCGGACACTCCGCTTAATAATCCATCAAGTTTTAGCAATGAATGTAAATTGATGCGGACCTCTCACGGTCTTGTCTGTGATATCGAATAACTGTTGTTGTCACAACATATTGTCAGTTTAATCATTCACGGGCATTGTGATTGGCGCGCTGCAAAAACTTCCTTTGTCATTGGACAAACATCATCCTCCTAGTAAGATGAGCTCGCAACACGGAACGCAAATTCGTATTTTGTCTTGACAAGTAATGATAGCTTGACGGCGTGCTTTTGGCGTAGGCGTTAGAAAATTTTCAACAAGTCGGGTAAACGAGAACAGGTGGAATGAGCAAAATATCCTACATGCGAATTGACAAGTTCCATAATGTGGGGAAAATGTAGCAAATGCTGAAATGCAATCAAGTTGCTATTGATTTCGAAGTAATACAATCATAATTTTAGACTTTACTGCATGGGAGTTCAAAGTTCATGCCAAGTTGCAATAAAGTCGAGTATACGTATTTCAGTATTTGAACTTTATACTTCTAAAACGTTGTAATTTAAATCGTTTCTTTGAATAATTTAATTCGCTAGTACTTGTGTCTAGGTAGGACGTCTTCGGCAGGACGTCTTCCTGAAGTTTATTACAAAACTTAAGCCATATATTATTGGCTCTGATGAAGATCCGGGTTTACTAATCGAAAGCTTTTGCAATATCACACGTGGTGCAACCTCACAAACCAAAACTGATATTATTAATCGCCATGCAACTGTACAAAGAACTTAAATCATAAGCCTGCAAGTTCCCGCATGCAATTAGTAATGACAATTATTTTTTGGTTTATTTGTTGGTTCAATGTGTTATCACTAGTTTGCTTGTCTGTTTGTTTATTTGTTTATTTGTTTGTTCATTTCAATTTCATTCAAATTATTCTCATTCAAAATGCTTTCATTAATATAAATGTCAAGTGTCAAGACAAATTTTTAGTTCAGTTTTTCTGCACATTGCCTCATTTTCTTGTTCATTAACAACTTATCACAGCAAATTTTATCACTGGCTGCACATTTTACATTTTATTACTGCACATTTTATCACTGTACATTGTCATTGATTTTACTTTTAAAGGCCGACACACACCGGACAGGATACGTTTTGTCAGTTTGTGGTGATCTTCGACACGTCTCCGGCGTCTCGGCAGCCATCTGCTGCACAAATTGGTTATCATAAAAATAATAGGTATGATTGTTAAATGTTGTCTGTTCATCCATTGTGTATTTGTCAGTCTCAGGTTGCTGCAGTGATTGCCATTTCAATTTTTTTTGAATATTTTCGAATTTGAGGGTTAATTTACCCTGGATTCCAGAGCCTTCGCGACATTTCAATTTATTATTTACTTCGCAGGCTCTGGAATCCAGGGTAGGGTTAATTCTGACTTTCTGTTTATTCCCGCCAATATCTCTTTCCCTGTGATATTACTGAGCTCTGGACTCCCCGCCGCGTTGTTAGAAGCTTGGGAACGAACACAATGGCTGCCAGCCTGCCACGAAGGAATATTGTACGCTGTGATATCTGAGTTAAAATACCTAGCTTTTTAATCGTTTCATGTTTCGGTAAGCTGCCTTAGAACTTCATCAACAGCTGAGCTATGAAGCATGAGGTTTTGGAAGATTCATTCTGGTGCCTTGATGCGAAAATCTCTTGCTATTGCGACAGTACTTTCCGTATTTATAATATGGAAAACATTCCAGAACATGCAAAATGGTGTAGGTCCCGGTCCAGGTACAATCACCTTTCCCGTCCAGAGCTGCAGAGGGATAAACACGAACAAAGATAGCTCCATAATCTCACCGAGAATTATGTTTTTCAACTCATCGGCGACGGTAAACAAGCGAGTTTTAATTTTGTCCAAAAGGACAGTGGTTATTGTGCGAGATCTGTTGCCAATTTTGGAAGGCAAGCGTATTTTATATGAAATTCATCATTTAGCTGGAGGAGATAAAGACCTCTTGCCTTCATTGACCGAGCAAGATAGGGGAAAATACGTGGCTATAATATTTACAAGTTTTAGCTATTATTTTGGGCTAAGTTTGTGGAATCGACATCTTTTGGATAATTACTGTCATGCTTTTGGTGTGGGTATGATATTATTTAACCTAGGAGAGTCATCAGGTACTTCTCCAAGTACAGAATGGTTTCCTTTTAAAATATACACAAGTGCTTTGCAATTTCAATTGTATCATGTTGCCAAGAATGCAACAATATTGAGGCTCGTGAAAGGGAATAATGTTTTGGACTCGGAGGGTAAGTTTGACCAGCATAAATGGTCAATTTTTGTCCCACGAAGTGGTACAAATTTTATTCAAGATTTTGAAGTCATAGCGACGTCAAATTTTAATGACGAGACAATTGAAAATAAAATCGGAATCAGTGATGATCCAAAGGGGTTCCCTGTGGTCATCCACGATTTAGGAAAGCGTGACAACATTCATAGAGTATACTTTGGTGCTGGTCTGACATTTTGGCCACATAAATTATTATTTCTTGATGCACTCAGCTTCGTGTCACAGCATAAATTAGCCAAAGCATTGGATCGATGGATACAAGTGGATATAGATGATATATTTGTGGGTAGAACTGGGATACGAATGAAAAAGGATGATGTCAAGGCAAGTATTGTATTTGGTAGCCTACAAAATGCTGCCAGGGAGTGGGTAAAAAACAAAGGGAAGGATAAAAAATCACCCATAAAAAAGAACCAATAGGTTTTATCGGTCGGCTGATAAATATCAGGTTTTTCTCAAAGTCAATATTGCAAAACCGAGAAAACCGACCGAAGAATTGTATATCACCATTGGTATACCATGCAATGTAAGACCTATACACGCAACTGAAAAGTGACGCAGCTTGATTGGAATGCAGATTGCCTGTAACCAATCTTCTTTTCATTTCTTGATGTTGACCTTAGTATTATTTTTCGCAGTCCGTTTTTTCTCCTCATCTTTTCAGGAAAATTCGATATATTTTCAAATTTATGAGCGTGTATACTGTATGTGTGTTTGTGTATTTAAATATATGTTATAACTGTCTTGCTTGGATTGGTCTTAATAATGGGATTCTGGACTGTTGAATACCTTCAACCTTATTTGTCTTTCATCTATGTGTATATTCTAAAATTTAACATCTATTTGTTTGTGTATAAAAGGTAAAATATGTAAAGTTAATAAATGGATAGATAAAATAAAGGAATAAACATTTTCGCTTCATTTGCCCTTTGGCCTTTAGTTAATCCATTATTGAGTGGCAGCACTCTTCCCCTGACGAGTAAAAATGTCTGGCGTTAGACAGAGTAAAATAATAAAGTAGGGTGCCTCTTGGCGCATTGCCACTTAAAGGGTTAACAAGGTGCATGGCAGCACTCTCTCCCTGACAAGTAAAGTCGTCTGGCGTTAGCAGGGCCGTACGCAGGATTTTTTCACCAGGGGGGTAGTAAGGCCTATATGCCGAGAAAAGTCCCAAATTTGTGTACAGCCCTGGGTGTTAGACAGAGTAAAATAATGAAGCAGGGCGCATCTGGGTGCATTGCCACTTAAAGGGTTAATCTTGTGCCTATACGCAGGCTATCTACAGTACTCTGTTATATCAATTATTTATGGCACATTCATCCATGCTAAATTGTGCTAACTTGTTGATTTGTTTTTCGTATCTAGGCTATGATTATCACTCAACGTACTCTTCAAAAACTTGTGCCAGGTTTTCAACTCAATCTTGGTTTTTCTGGCAAATATTTTGAACATGGCAGTGCAGATGAAAATGAAGGAGACAGAGAGCTAGTGGAAAATGCTAGTGAGTTTCGATGGTTTGACCATATGTGGGCTCATAAACAACCACATAAGGTTGATAACCTTGAAGCCATGAAGCAACAAATGATGTTGAACATGGAATTTGCAAAGGTATTTGCTGGAACATGGTTTCCATTGTCCTTGGAAATCCTGGAAAGCTGTTGAATTTCATTTAAAATCACATGGTTGAAAAATCCTTGAAAAGTTAATAAAAGTTCTTCAAAGTCCTGGAATTTCTTCCCTGCTGTGTTAATAAGGCCAAAAAGTGTACTTGTGTTTCCCTACCCCACCTAGCTTTCGACCACTGAAATCACTGGCCCTAATAATTTTACCTGACATTTGTTTTATAATATTTAACGAATCTTTGTGCCATCTGTGCTGCCCTGATTGACGTACAATATCATTCTCATGCATCATAATAGGAATTTTCCTAATTCGGCTTAAAATATGTTTAAATTCCTGCTTTCAAATAAAATGTCCAGGAGTTTACTGATTTTTGTAAAATTGAACTAAATAAACATGCAAATTAAGCACCATCATTAACATTTCTTCACTTAGAAACACAATATTCCAGTTGATACCTCTTACTCAGTGGCTCCCCACCACTCTGGGGTGTACCCTGTTTATGACATATTATATGAAGCCTGGAGGGAAACTACAGGTGTTCAAGTTACCTCAACTGAAGAATACCCACATCTGAAACAAGCTTGGAGAAGAAGAGGATTTATTTATCATGATGTTATGGTATTTTTTATACTATTATAGTATGAGGCTTTATATCTTTCTTGCCTTGTAAAAGCAGAGTAAACCTTTTATTGAGGGTCTCTCAGGGACTTCTGGGAAACAAGGCATATTTCGCAATGGGACCCAGTGAACTCTATTATAACTGGAACGATAACTTTGCTATTTTTTTAAGTATTTCTAAAATTTATTTATTCTGGAAGACCACTTGTACTAGTATCCAAGGGGTACGGTAAAGCCCGACTTAAACAATTGGCTGAAAAATATGAAACTTTTACATGAAGTAAGACGGGGGTTTTCTTGCTGAATTTAATGCATTTCCGCGCAGGGGCCTGGATCATACTACAAAGCGAGCTTTAATTTCCGCCATCTTGGCTTCAAAAATCAAGCCTGTTATCGTTCCAGTATTTAGTATATAGTTAATATAGAGTTCACTGGCGGGATCACGGGAACAAAACCATGAAAATCGTAGGCAACAAGGAATCATGTACTGTAAGCTTGTGGAAAAAGGGGACATAGTGAAATCTTTGTCTGGAACATGGGGAAAAAAGGAAAACTTTTCAAGCAAACACGGGAACACAAACCCCCCCTCCCTGGGAGACCCTCTTTATTGTAGGCATTATCATCATTAATTATTTTGAAGACTTTTCTTTTGCGACTTGCAGGCCAACAAGTACTGTACCCTTCGCAGGAACGTTAATTACAAAGTAGCGAACTTAAGCCAAGCTTCTAATACGGGGAGTCGGGAACGTGACAAGAAACTGAGATTTTACACTTTTAGTTATAACGACAAAAACTACCGTTATTAAGCCGTTACAGACGAGCAAGTTTTCTATGCCATGTTTTCATACAGTGACAAGTTTTATTTGCTCGTCAACTTAGCACATTTTGCTATGACAAGTACACTTGTTCAAAAGCTACAGTATACAGTGCACTGTATGCATGTAGTATGACCCATTGGAGATTTGCTATTAATTAATTTTTAATAATATAATTTTTTTCTTGCTTCGATATTTATTTGATAGTTAGAATTTACCTAAGTACAGTAAGTAGGGGTGTGCTAATCAGCCTTATTGCAGCTGAGAGCTAAGCTGAATTAACCATTTGCGTAATAGACTAAATTTTGATCTAAACAAATCTAGACTATACAATTACTTTATGGTTTCCGTGTTTGGATGGCCTGATCCAAACACGCGGGAATGTTGCGAGGGTTAAGAAAAGCGAGCGAAATCACGAGCCGAAGGCGAGTGATTTTGCCCGCTTTTCTTAACTCGAGCAACATTCCCAAGTGTTTGGATCATTCCGTCCAAACACGGAAACCATAAAGTAATTGTTTTATAAAATAACAACAACACGATAGCCTTCCGTGTTTGGATGGCCTGATCCAAACACGGGTTTCGACCAATCAGAATACGCGTTATGTACATGTTATTTTATAAAAAAATGTCATCACAGCTTGAAAGAGCATCACAAAATTAGTAATATTCCAAAGTTTCGTTGCGAAATGTTGTAAAATGCGGATAATATAGCCTTGCGAAGTTTGCAATTTTCAGTCAGGCATTTTAGATTACAAACGGGAAATTGACAGCCCCAAAGGGTATATTGGGCTGTCAATTTCCCCCGCGTAATCTAAAATGACTGAAAATTGTAAACTTCACAAGGCTATATTATCCGCATTTTACAACATTTCGCAACGAAACTTTGGAATATTACTAATTTTGTGATGCTCTTTCAAGCTGTCTAGACTTGTTTAGATCAAAATTTAGTCTATTACGCAAGTGGTGAATTGCGAAGGACGCTGCATCAACCTGATCGAGTTGAAGGCTTTTTAATTAAGGGTCCCCTGGCAGTCACCTTATGACTCATTCGCGGCTCACCCTGTCAACATTATAGCTGTGGGTGGAAACCGGAGAAAACCACGACTTTTGGTAGGGCATTGACTGACTCTTTTCTCATATAAGTGTGTTGAGCGAATCCTCAATCAATCGCGCCAGCGAATCCTCCAAGTTTTTCAAATTTTCCTCTTCGTCTTATTTACTAGGTATTACCTCGCCAAACGTGTGGTCTTTTTACACATAATTTGTTTTTGGAAGAATATCCTGGTGGGAAAGAGGTCCTTCTCAAAAGTATTTATGGAGGAGAATTGTTTCAGGTTATAGTTACCAATCCGGTGAGTTTATACTGTAATAGTTGCAACTGTGCGATGAGTTACATGTAATTTCATCATATTCACATAATACTGGATACCTTGTGAAGTATATTCATTCCTTGGACTGGATCAAAATTAATTCACCTCACTTTAGGTAGTGATTTATTCGTATGAGATGTTATTTCCAATTCGGACTGGACTAGATCTCAAGTCCTAGCATTTTGCTTCAGGCCTCGCCTTCGCCTCGGACTTGATCAAACTGCGCGGACTTGAAATCTAGTCCAATCCTCATAGACATAGTCGGATTTGAAATATTACTTCACACAGCTGTCTGTTATCAGACGTCTCTGCTTACACTGGCACTGTCCGTTTGAAAGTGTACTGTAGAAGTACGATTACAGCTTTGGAATCGCAAATTTCTCCCTAGTACAATTGACCATTTGCGTAACAGACTAACTTTTGAACTAAACAAGTCTAGACCAAAATTTCATCACAGCTTGAAGGAGCATCACAAAATTAGTAATATTCCAAAGTTTCGTTGCAAAATGTTGTAAAATGCGGAAAATATAGCCTTGTTAAATTTGCAATTTTCAGTCATTTTAGATTACAAACGGGAAACTGACAGCCCCAAACCCTTCGAGGCTGTCAATTTCCGGTTTGTAATCTAAAATGACTGAAAATTGCAAATTTCGCAAGGCTATATTTTCCGCATTTTACAACATCTTGTAACGAAACTTTGGAATATTACTAATTTTGTGATGCTCTTTCAAGCTGTAATGAAATTTTTGCTGAGATCAAAATTTAGTCTATTACGCAAATGGTCAATTGCATAGTGAAATATATTTTTCGTATTTTCATTATTATTAAAAGCTGGCGAGTAGTCTGTTCAAATATATGCAACAAATTTCCCTAGATAAATATATGATAATAATTATATCTATTTCAGGTCAATATCTTCATGACCCATCTTTCAAACTATGGCAATGATCGTTTGGCACTGTACACGTTCACCAACGTAATAAAATTCATTCAGTGTTGGACCAACCTTCGCCTTATGTCTTTGCCTCCACTGGAACTTGGCAAGAAATATTTTGAACTATTTCCTGGCGAGATGGAACCAGTATGGCATGTATGTCACTTTTCTTACTGTAACTGCTTCGTGTTCATATGAACGTGAGAACCGTTGTGACCGTATCTACGACTTTAAAATAATTTTTTGTAGACAAAAAATCAAAGAAAATAGAATCCAAATGCTGTCGGTTAGCCGACGAACATTGTTTGCCAGTGGTTATCAAACACTGATTATTTACCATATATGCACTCTAAAACACTATATAGGTTAAAATTCCTTGGTTAACCTATAGAAGTAACACTATTTGGGTTAACTTAATATTCCAGCTTATAAGAAGGAGAAAGGTTAAAATAGCCAGGAATATTAGGTTAACCCAAATAGAATTATTTCTAGGTTAACTAGAAAAAGGGGATCCGGAGTGTTTTAAGTGCGTGGTTATTAAACACTGATTATTATAAGTACATATATGATTATTGTAAAGAAATTGGACGACATTTACAACAAGTGAATGTGGATATAATTTATCAATATTTTAGGTTTCCAATAATCCATTTCTTATTAACATGCCCAATCTTATGCATGGAATTAATAAACAAAGGATTGCCACCACCACTTGTAGCTTGAAATCGTAATTCTTTAAACGGTTTTGGCCTTCAATTTCATGCAATATATATTATAGCTTATAGCCTGTACCTGTGATTTCATGGTTGAAAAATTACTGCTACATATTATCCGGGGTGGGGGGCAGTTGCATGCTCCTGCATGGCCTTTCGCTGGTTAAAAAAAAATCATTTTCAAACTTGAAATAGTCCTTGCACAAGATATTTTTTATGTACTTTAATATGTTGAACCTTTACGTACAGTACACTGATAGTCAAACGAAGAATTATCAAGACCGAAGTTTGTGTTATGTTTATATATCTTTTATATCGTACGCTATGACGTTGATGTTTTTCAACATGATGTTGCAACTCCATATCTGATCAGCAATGAAGTTGATATGACGACACCATTCGCTGCATGTTAACAAATCATAATCAGAGATTACGAATTATTTTTAAAATAGTTAATAAATACGTTTATCTTTCAGCACCCTTGCAAAGATCCACGTCATAAAGAGATTTGGCCAACTTGGAAATCATGTAACCGACTTCCTTCCTTCCTTATTATTGGCCCACAGAAAACTGGCACAACGGCCCTACACATGTTTCTTTCTGTACATCCCGATGTACGTCAAAATAACCAAAACGAGAAATCTTACGAAGAAACACAATTCTTTGCTTCTGTGAACTACTACAAAGGCTTAGGTTGGTAAGTATGACACAATTATTTGAAACCTTTATGCAAGAGCCCAAATATACAGAAACAAGTTGTCAGCCTTGTTTTTCATTTATTATTGCAAGATTTTGAGCTGGTATGGTAAAATACGAATATGTACAGTATACAGGAAAATAGTAGGTACTCCGGAACACCGCGAGCACTAAAGTGATTTCATACCATATGGCTGGTCAAATTTAGCCTGGGCCATTGACTTGACAAGTCCCTGTTGGCCACCATACTATCAAAACAACCTCAAATAACGGCCTAGAGTATACAGTATTGGTCTGCAATAAAAGCAATTAACATCGTACCGTTGTTTCAGCAATCGCTGTTCGTGTCTCGCCCCAATAATGGCCCCATGGCATTATTGAATCAAAGTTATTTATAGAAAAGTGTGTATTGTACATGATTTTGTTGATTTGGACCCCAAACTTGCCGAATGCTTTACAGTATAATGTGTTTTGCATAGAGAATTTCGTGTTTCCGAAAATACTGTAGTTTAAAGCACGCGTCAGAGCCAAGATGCAAACAAATGCTCTTATTGGTTGGGAAAATTTTCCAGGATTAAAAACGAATGCCATGTTTTCGTAGTTTTAAGTGCTACTAATAAAAAGGAGAAATTTGATGTTCTAACATGCTCTGAACACCAGCAACTGCCCCTGTCCCCTCCCCTCTTCATACCTGCATGAGATTTTAGTTTTATGGAGGTAGCCTATCTTCTAAAGAGAGCTAAACTGTATCGACATATCCATGTTTTAGCCTGGATCAAAACGAGGATGAAAGTGCATGAGAGTTGGCAGTCATGCACGCGACCTTAAATGGCTGTCCCAACACAATCCTATATTCAATGTACAATAAGTTAAAACATCGCTGGAACATTCATCATTCAACCTTGATTTTGACTATAGAGGTTGAAATGACCCTCGTAACAATTCGTGACTGCCAACCCTTATCATCTGTTGTCCTTGTTTGAACGGAGGCTTTAGATAAATGGGCCAAAAAAATATGTGGGTTTTCGGTTTCCCGACCCTACCTAGCTTTTGGACGTCGAAATCCCAACCCTAGACTTTTTTATTGGATCATGCTTGTAAATGTTTCCTCTTAGAGGAAAAAGTTTTGGGAAAATTGAAATTTGAGGCAATATTAGGGAAATTTAACGTTGGATGTGGAAGCACTGACTAAGCAAAAGCAAACAAATGTGGAAGCACTGACTAAACAACTATCTATCGTGGAAGCACTGACTAAAACAAGTGGAAGCACTGACTATGACTACTATAAAATCGTTAATATTTTCTCATTTCTACTTTTTTCAAGACATTTATATTTATCCTAGAGAAAACTTAGACAACACAACTTTTATCTAAGGCACATAAAATAAGCAAATATTGTTTAACTGCCAAAATATGAAACAAACAAAACGAAACTCGGCAAAAAACCGCGCGAGAATTTATGGTTTTTCTGAGTTTTTTTAGACTTTCCAGAAAGACTTCGGAGACAAAATTATACAATTTATTTAGAAAAATCTTAGATACGGTTGTCAATGGAGTTAAAACATCCAGAAACGTACTTTAATAAGTTAAAATTAAGGATTAAATTAGTAAAAATACATCGTTAAAATTTTTGTGTATTTATTTTTGTACACATATACCTGCGAACAGGCTGTACTTGAGCACCCGAAATTCGGCTTCACCCAAACATAGGCCTTTATCATAGGAGTTATCGTTCCAGTTTACTTATAGTTCAATAGTGGAAGCACTGACTAAACAAATGTGGAAGCACTGACTAAACAACTATCTATCTATCTATCCGGTTGTTAGGAAAATTAAAAAAAAAAGTTAAAAAAAAAAAGTTAAAACCGACCTACCCTACCTAAGTTTTTATAAGAAGAAACCGGAAACCCACATATTTTTTTTTGGCCCTGGCTTCATAATGGCGTACTATAAATGTTATATCATAAAATAATTTTCTACAAAACAATTAGAGTGACTGAAAATAAATGTCTTTAGGTACATGAATAATTTTCCCGATGTCCCTGAGAATAGCTCGACGCTGTTGTTTGAGAAGACGGCGAATTATTTTGATTCCATGAAAGCTCCAATGCGGATGCATGCGTTGCTCCCGGATGCCAAAATCATTGTCATCTTAAACGATCCTGTCAGGCGGGCGTATTCTTGGTATCAGGTTGGTTGCAAATTTAGGTAGTGTAATTAACAAGTACGTAAAATTGAGGCGCTTCCATGATTTGTTGGATCGCGATAGTAGGTTTTCTGCATGTAATGACCTTACGTACAAATACAGGGCGTCCCAAAAATGCAATACCTGGGTTCACCTTTTTGCACGGCTAATAATTATCAGTAAGCATCGAAAATTCAATCGACTATTCAGAACATGGACTAGTCAATGCTTTATGGTGCAGTATATATCTAATATAATGTCTAGTTTGTCAATATGTTGTTAAGGTTATTTATTATCTAAGTTTGTATTTGTAAAGCCCCGCTTACACTACACTCAATTTTTGGTACCGTACCACTCTTTCGGTTCTTGTACTACCTAAATAGGTATAGTCCAAGAACCAAAAAAGTGGTACGGGTATATTTAGCACAGCAGATGCCTGATTTCATTGACAAAGGGCCGTTGCATGATTGAACCAGACTTTAATTTGAACAGCGATAACATTGGTTCGACTAAACCAATTGTAAAAAAATTAGTGTCAAAATTCATCTCTAATTTAATACTTTAAATTTCGTTTTTGATGCCCATGAATTAATTAATAGTTTGCTGTGAAAAAAATCTGGAACACAGCCATTGCGTTTGTTCGGATATATGTCAGACGGTCAATTCCTTTACATTTTTGTTATACAAAAATTGTATACATATTACATCATATTGCATCGTAACATATGGAAAGAACACTGATTTTAACTTGGTAAAGTTAATTGTAAAACTGGAAGTTAGTTTTCTCGTGTCTTTCAGCACATGCGTTCACACGATAACGAGGCGGCGTGCAATGTTGGATTTTTTGACTTGCTAACGTCGCATGTCAATGCGAGTGCTCCAGTGAAGAGTTTAAGAGGTCGTTGTTTGGTGCCAGGTTTATATGCAGAACATTTGGAAAGATGGATGCTACATTTTTCTGCTGTTCAGGTTAGATTGATTAGATGCAAGGGTCTATTCTTTGTTTGAAATGACGTAATTTTGGGATTTCATTTCACAATTCATTTTGATGTATTGATCGAGGTTAGAGACAGTTTAAGACTCGAAAGGTGAATTACCGTTCAATTTTTCTTGCTAAAACCATTCTGATAGGAGAAAAATCGTTCATAAGTTGTTTGATTGCCCGTCATTTGGATGAAAAGTCACGTGATTGCAAACAAAGAATAGTGCAAGGATGGGGGAAGGCCTCATCAGTCTTACGATTTTTATCAAGACAGAAATAATCTTTGATTATAAATATAACATTGTTTGCTAATATAATTAGATTGGGCAGCATTGTATAATTGAAATAGCAATTTATTTCTGTTCAGTCTTTGAAGTTAAAACTAGTAATGCTAATTGTCCTGACATTCAGGATGTATTTTTGGCTTAATATGATAACACTATAACTGATCTAAACAGCATGAAATCAGAGAGCTAAGATTTGAAAATTTTCTAGACGTTCATGCATCAAGGCCTCCCTTGAAGAGGTTCTTCTGTCCCCCCCCCCCCCTTAAAATATTAGAACTGCACCGCTGTTTCGATGTTTCACTGTAGGGCACAGGGAGGAAAAAGAAAGATTCGTGAAGAAGTATGTGACCACAAAGATCTCAGAGATAAACTTAAAGTTTATTGCCAATTACAAGAAATAGAAAACACTTTCCGTGTTTCTATACAGTTACAGAAACATGTGTGCATGGGAGTTTAGGAAAACGAGCTCGGATTGAGTTTTATAATATACAGTAATTCAAGAAAGGGTTTTGAAATCAAAGCTTCGAGATGGGAAATTCCTGTGTTTCTACACAGTTAGGGCTTGTTTACACTTGCAATTTTTGCTACGATTTCTAATGCGATTTTTCGACGCTCATGTGCTATAAATGTTATATAATTCCTTTTAAAAACATTAAAATTGATCATGTTTTTAACGATATTTATTACCGTTTGCATGCATAGATTTTAAGTATAGGTAATCATGCGATGGCGAGTACAATTAGGGATTAATCGTACGAGTGATGTTTAACATCACGAGTACTATTAATCCCTAATTGTACGAGCAACATCGCATGATTACTTGTTTATTATTAGCATGACAAAATTGGATACGTACTTCTCAATGTCAGCATCATATTCTCTCGCCAAAGCCCAGTCCTGCCAGACTTTCAACCAAAATTTGGTGCTTTTGTTTGTATTTTCATTTAGTTCTTTTGTTCAAGCAAAATTTGGTGCTTTCATTCGTATTTTCATCTAGTTCCTCCACGGCAATTTCATTTCACATTTGTGTTTAAAATACCTTTCCGCCATTTTGTTTGTTTTGGGAAAATCATTAATTGTACTGCAGTACAATTAATGATGGTAATAGAACGAATAGGAGTGCTATTAATGCCATAATCATACGAGTGATTACAAAATCAACCGACCGCGTAGCGGGAGGTTGATTTGTTAATCACGAGTATGATTATGGCATTAATAGTACGACTTTAATTCGTTCTATTACTTATTAATTATTTATCTTCTGTAATCAAACTGTTTAAGGGGAAAAGCAGAAAAATACAATTTGTTGAAGTTCAATATAATTATTAAATTTTTGTCACGACAATTCTTAGTGAAATAGTACAATTTTGAATTATTGTTTATCATATATAATCAAATTAACATATTATTAACTTCCGGGCATTATTTCCGGTATAATCACATGACAACATTGTTTGAATTATTCAACACACAATTGGGAAGCCATGTTTGTATGTTTATAACGTGTTCAAAATAGTGAAGTTCTTTAGCCCAATTAATCATCTGAATTGGATTGAAATATAACTCCTGGTTGTGTTTAGTTCGGTGTCTTCTGCTGGATGAACAGGTAGGTCATTTTCGTCAGAAAATATATAATTTAACAACCCTCGAAAACGAGATCTGCATTCGGCAATGCCGACCTACAGTATTAAAATGCCGACCTATCAACCTCCCATGTCGGCAATGTTTTGCCGACCTTAATTCAGCCAAAGTAATAATCTTTTTTGGTGCTTATAGCTGTTAAAAAGTCAGCGATTATAGAATTCGATGCACTTTGGTGTAAGGTTTAAAAATTAACGGGTATATTTATGATGTAATTTAGGTAAAACTCTAAAAGAAAAGGCTTCGTGACATTTATACTTTTCAATGATCGATCGTAAA